AAGGATTCATACTTTATCTTCTTATCAAAACAGACTCCTGCTGCTCCTGAGATGGCATTTTTGAGCTCAGAAGGAAGCCTGTGATGAAGTCTTTAATTAGCACCAGCATCTTTTGTTGGTTAATGAGTGCGCTGGCAGAGCCCCTTTGATAGAGTCCATACACAGAGAGAGATAAGAGAGCACTGGGGTCTTTGTATCCATTGTGTGTCAGTTGTGCTATCACTTATCAGAAACTCTAGCTCTTTGTAGCTCAGCAGCATGAATAACACTACTTTTGTCTTAACAGGATTGAAAAGCATTACCTGCAGGCAAAATCAGCAAACCTCAATTAGCCTCATAGCTGGTGGGGAGATTTGTGGCCACCTGGATAGAGATTACTAAAACAAAATCAGCATGCCTCAGTTCTCTTACTAACTAGAGGTTTCTTCAAAATGGCCCTCTTATTAACATACTATGATAGTTCTACATCACTTTAATAGCTCCAGTGTGCACACGACCCTTTATGACCCATGTTATCTAGAATCTTTTTCTCCGTTCCCATTGCTGCACTTATAGCAGGCCATAGACTTCCGATAAAGTTGACGAATTATCGGCCAATAAAAAAATCGGCCGATATTCAGATCGTTAGTGGGGAAATCGGTCGGCCGTTTTTCGTAATTTTAAGACATTTAGAAAATCGTCCCTGCTGGAAAATCGTCAGATGATTTGGTCGTTCGGACAATTTTCGTGGTAATTATGGTCAAATCGGTCGTTCTTTTTGCAGATTTTCAAATAAATTGAATATGAAGAAAAAGAAGAAATAGAATATCAAGAAGAAGAAATAGATTTTGCAGAAGTAGAAGAAATAGATTTTGCAGGAGAAGAAGAAATCGATTTTGCAGAAGAAGAAGAAGAAGAAAAAGTTGCAACATTGTTTATATTTGTATCCATTTCGGATACAGATGTTTCTATTCAAGTACAAATAGATACAATGTTGTTTCTCCTTCTTATGCATAATCTATTTCTTCTGTCAAATATAATAGCGGGGCTCTATGCAGGGACACCGCTATTATATTAATTGCCGGCCGTAGACGGGACGAAAACCAGCCGACTTTTTTCTACAATGGTAGTAATGTCGGCTGACTGAACGACCGATTTTACGATTTTCTAAAAAAAAAAAAAACGGCTGGTTTTTCTCCAAGTTTATGGCCTGCTTAAGTCTTCATTCCAATAATTCTGAAACAGGTAATAGGAGAAATATGTAGGTTGCCATTGCTGACCTCTTAACAATGCTAGTTATGGCTAGGTGCCCTTGGATTCAATGCCTTCTGACCAGGACAAGAATGTAGCCAGTAGAGTCAGAGGAAATCAGGACTCGTATGCTAAAGCTGGCTGATCACAAGTAGATTTTTGAACTAATGTTTGTATGAACATTCTTTGTACATTTGACATCTGGACAAATGTCATTCAAAAGTACTTCAAAATTTAATTTGCTTTTAACATTTGATTTGGAATTAATGTTATTTCCTGAAAGAAAATCACATACACTGTTAGCAATTCTTTAAAGAAAAAATTTCCATCCTGCTCTTTCTAATTTTCTTGTCATTGTGGTTGAAAACAAATGTCGATTTGAGCTTACTAATGATTAAGAAATCGAACAAATGTTCTTAAAACAAAACATTTCAAGCAAAATTCTACTAGTGTGTAACACCCTGCCGTAATACTGTTTGCAAGATATTAAATGGACACAAGATGGCAGTGTCTTGAAGCCCAGTTACACAGACTCCCTTGAAAAGCTTCTTGGGATTTGTAGGCTGATTGCAGGACTTCACTATCTGTCATGGAGCCAGCAAACTACATTTCCCAGAGGAGCTGGCTGATGGGCGGGGGCATATAAATACAGAAGCCCAGGAACTGAAAGACAGGAAGTAGACAGAGAGAGCTGGAGAGCAGGTGTAAGGAGAAGAACGTGAGGGACACCGGAGGCACCAGCTGGGCCAGACCGCAGAAAATGGAGGAGAGAAAGAGTTGCTGACCACTGACAACGCTGACAAGTCTGGTGGACAGGCCTACCAGCCAGAGTGATACTATCCAGAGTGATCCCTGAAGAAGGAACCATGAGGAAATGAGGGCCCCCCATCAACAGAGAGACTTTCCTCTACCTGACTCAGATCACAGATTGGGTGAGAAAATTCCATACTCAAGCCATATAAGTTGCACATGACTTTACTAAATCCAGATATTTTCTACTCAACTTGATTACTATCGTTTCTTAAGTTACATGTATTAAGGCCCAAGTTGTTCGACCTACTAGTTATTATAGTTCCAGCATATCTGATATCAGAGGCCTACTGCTCTATCTGCACTCTGCAGGCCCAGCTGTATTATTGCTCCCATTGCAGTCTGCCCATTCGCCATTGCTGCAGTTTGCCACTGTGGCCCAGGGAAGAAATCATTTCCACAAAAGTGTGTTTTGCCCATTTCTACTTCCTGACAAATTTTACACCTCATCCTGTGTATTCCAAAGGAGTACTATTTGAATTCAGCATCACCTAAGTGGACCGCTCCTTCCCTTTGTGTTCATCCTCTATTAACCACTTGGCAACCGCGCTATAGCCGAATGATGGCTACAGCGCGGTTTTCCAGTTCTGGGAGGGCGTCATATGATGTCCTTCCAGAATGCGCCCTCTCTGCGCACCCCCAGCGGTGCGCACAAAACGATCTCTGTGATATGGTAAAAGGCCAATTACAGTGGCCTTTTACCACATGATCAGCTGTGTCCAATGACACAGCAGATCAGTGGGAAATACAGTTGCCAGTTATCTGCTGTACTTTCCTCACGCTGTCACAGTGTGAGGAAAGTACTACCGATAACCGCCAATTGTCAGAAAACAGATCGGCACTGATCATCAGGGCACTGATGATCAGTGCCCTGATGATCAGTGCCACCCAGCAGTGCCACCCACATGTGCCCAGCAGTGCCATCCATTAGTGCTGCTCAGCAGTGCCACCCAACAGTGCCGTCAGTGCCGCACATCAGTGCTGCCTGTCAGTGCCCACCAGTGGCGCCTATCAGTGCCCATCATTGCTGCATATCAGTGCAGCAGCATCAGTGTCGCCTCATCAGTGCCAGCTCATCAGTGCCACCCATCAGTGCTGCCTATCAGTGCCCATCAGTGCTGCCTATCAGTGCCCATCAGTGCTGCCTATCCGTGCCACCTCATCAGTGCCCATCAGTGCTGCCTATCAGTGCCCATCAGTGCTGCCTATCAGTGCAGCCTTATCATCGCACATAAGCGAAGAAGAAAATTACCTGTTTGCAAAATGTTATAATAGAAAAAAGAAAAGAAAAACTTTTTTTTTTTCAAAATTTTTGCCCTTTTTTGTTTTTTTAGTGCAAAAAAATAAAACACCCCGTGGTGATTAAATACCACCAAAAGAAAGCTCTATTTGTGGCAAAAAAATGATAAAACGTTTATATGGGTACAGTGTTGCATGACTGCGCAATTGTCATTCAAAGTGCGACAGCATTGAAAGCTGAAAATTGGCCTGAGCATGAAGGGGGTATAAGTGCCCAGCAGGCAAGTGGTTAAGGATCTTCTAGCCTTTGCCTCAAGGATGATTTGAATCCTTATGTGCACCAACTAGGACCTCATCAAGCACGCAGAAGATCAGACACTGCAGTTAAAGAGACAAGTCTATTAACCACTTTAAGTCCGGACACTTTTACCCCTTCCTGCCCAGGCCAATTTTCAGCTTTCAGGGCTATCGCACTTTGAATGACAATTGCGTGGTCATGCAACACTGTAGCCATATGAATTTTTTTGAGACAGATAAAACTTTATTTTGGTGGTATTTATTCACCACTGGGATGTTTATTCTTTGCTATATAAATGAAAAAGTCCAAATATTTTGAAAAAAAAAGTGTTTTTCTTATAAAATTTTGCAAATAAATAATCTTTCTTCATAAATCTTGGCCACAGTGTATTTAGCTATCTTTTTAGTAACAACTAAAATAACCCCAATTAGTTTATAACCAAAAATTATAATTTTTCCAAAAAAGTTTTTTTTAACATACTGTTACCCTAGCAGTACAGTGTTACCATAGTGACACTGTACTACTTGTGGGGGGTGGTGAAGAATTTTTTTTACACTGATTGCTTTTACACCCATAATTGCTGTAAAAGCAATCATTTCTCCTCTCTGGCTGCATTCTTGCAGCCATTGAGAAATACTGTGAGAGCTGTGATTGGTCACAGCTTGTCACATGGTACAAGGCTGTTAATAACCTTTTACCATGTGACTTCTGTGATCATTCACAGATTTCACTAGTAGTAAGCAATGATGTCAGAAGTAACATCTTGCTTATTACTATTTATGTGATCACTGACTGGCCAATCAGTGATCACATGATCGGGACCTCACACTAAGGTCCTGTACAGTGATCAGTGTTCCACTGTGTCCTCTGGGGGGGTGGCACTGCTGGGCACTAGGGGGTGGCACTGCTGGGCACTGGTGGGTGGCACTGCTGGGCACTGATGGGCACAGGTGGGTGGCATTGCTGGGCTCAGGTGGGCAGCACTGGTGGGTGGCACTACTGGGCACTGATCATCAATGCCCTGATGATTGGTGCTGATCCATCTTCTGACAGTTGCCGGTTATCGGCAGCACTTTCCTCATGCTGTGACAGCGTGAAGAAAGTGCAGCTGATAACCGGCAACTGCATTTACCCGGTGATCAGGGGCGGACTGACCAATCGAGCACTCGGGCACTGCCCGAGGGCCCCGAGTCACTATGGGGCCCCATGAAATGCCCCTGTTACCTTTTTTATAGGCTTTTTTTGGGTGTGCTTTGAGTGTGGGCAAGGACACAGGGGCCACATGATCCCCTTTGTCCAGGGGGCCCCATGAGTTGTCAGTCCACCCCTGCCGGTGATCTGCTTTATCATTGGAGATCGCGGAGATCACTGGGTGCACGTGGGAGGGCGCGTTCCGGGAGGACGTCTTATGACGCCCTCCCAGAACTGGACAATCGCACTGTAGCCGTCATTCGGCTATAGCGTGGTTGGCAAATGTTTAAATTCTGAGCAGCCATATTGGAAACATTCTGCTTAGTCACTTAGAACAGTGTTTCTCAACCTTTTTCCAGTCAAGGCACCCTTTAAAATTATGGACAGTCCCGAGGTACCCTTTAAAATTATGGACAGTCTTGAGGCACCCCATTCTAAAATGTGAAAATGTATTCTAATAATTTTTATATAATACAGCAACACCTACACATGTAGGACACCCGACATTAGAGGTGGTTTATTCTTCCAAAGCAAATACACCTTTGCACACTGGTACTGAGTAGTATTCCAATTTTTTTCTCTTCTCCCTCAGTTTTTATCCATCACTGAGCTAATGTGACCCCCAGCACTGATGGAGAGGGGCAGGGGAAGGTCAAACTAGGATGCTGTGCAGGCAGCTGACATCCTCCTTATCAACTGATGATGATGTTGGTTGTCAGGATGCCGGTGGCTAGAAAGTTGTAATGGTGCACAATGAAAAGCTGTGGCTTTGTGTAACTAAAAGGCAGGCTTGTTCCACCCGCTGGCTTGTATACAAGTTTTGGGCAATTTTTTAAACATTTTGCCAAGGCACCCCTGAAGAAACCTCAAGGCACCCCAGGGTGCCTGGGCACCCTGGTTGAGAAAAGCTGACTTAGAATCAGTTTCTGGGAAAATAATATTGTGCATGTTTACAGCTTTTACAGAAAATAACCCAAATGGTATGCAGAAGTTAAACTTCCTTCATTTGCAAAGAATTCCTGGGTGTCTTTTACAATGATGTTTAAGTAAAAAAAACTGTTCCCCGGCTTTACTGTGTGGACCATTTTTTATTGTATAATCGCCATTTAATTTCCTCTTCTAAAGGGTAAACATTTTCCGTCAGTTATTTTTTCCCTCTTAGCTCAGGTACTCCATTTGCTTTATACCTTTAGCTACCCCTCTCTTCACTTTCTCCAGTTGTACAAAAAACTTTTTGTGAATTGGTGCCCAAAACTGAATTGCATGTTAAAGATGAAGTTTTACCATTGTATGAAGACAGGATCTGTATAAAGGCAAGATTGCCTTTCTCTCACTCTTGAATGTATTCTTCTTTTAATCCAAGAAAGTATCTTACTCCCTCTGGAAATGGTTGCCTGTTTTAAAGTCTCCTACCTAACAGGTCATCCAGATGTACTGTATTTCCATCATTGATGTATCCTACCCAGATATCCTCCTCCTTTTGATGCATGTGTGTTTTTAGCCCCTAGGTTCATAACTTTATGTTTGCCAACATTACACCTCATTTCCAGGTAGTTTGTAACATCTTCAAACACAAAAATGGTTCTTTATACCACACTTTATATCATTTAACAGGGCAGGTTCTGAGGCGTGCCAAAATGCCACCCTTTGACATTTTTTTTTATGTAATTTGTTTTTCTGTACTGTTTTTTTCATTGCAGACTCAACATATTTAGGAGACGAGACAGCCATCTTGGGTGCGCTCAGTTGAGATAACTACCCTACCAGCATGTTTTGGAGTGTAAAACCCATGCAACCACTTGGAGAACAAGCAAACTGAATGCAGGTATTGACCTGGATTCCTACCAAGCACCCTAGTACTGCAAGATGGAATTGCTACCAGTAAGCCTCTGTGCTGCCACTATGTAGGGTGGTAGAGTGACATGACTTAAATGTACTCCCCCAGTATGTCCTACCTTTAGTTTTTTTCCTTGTTCCAATAGCATGAAACAGTTTTTTTTTTACTCCCTAAGACATCATCCCCAGACTTGTAAAATTGGTGGTGAAGCAGCTGCTGGATTGAATCAGCTGGTGCCCTATGTAATTAGCTATTGACAGCAGCAAGTCCCCCAGAAATTGTTGATCCAGGGAATATCCGATTGCCTCTCGGGGGAACAGGAAGGAATTTTTACCCTACATGAGCAAATTGGATTATGCTTTGCTGGGTTTTTTTTGCCTTCCTCTGGATCAACTGTGGGTATAGGATTATAACTTTTTTTTTTTGGTTGATTTGGATGGACTTTTGTCTTTTTTAGCCAGACTATCTATGTAACTATGTAAGAAATACAGCTCCCAGAAGCCCTTTCTTTGCACACAGTGGCTTTAATTTATCATAGGTTTGGCATATTTTTAAAAAATTTGCTAGTGTCTAGAGAAACCGTAGGAGTGTACAACCTATAGCATCATGACTTATTGTTGCTAGATGTTGGAAGAAGCAGTATCAAAAGCTCCCAACTGCACTGATCTTCCCTCCCTTTTTCCTCTGATCCCTTCATTTGAGGCAGGGATTTATAACCCAATTCCAGGCATAACCTTTTTTTAGTGTCACATTTTCATACCCAAACACAGGGTACCACAAAGATAAGAGGGGACTCTTTCTAAAGCTAAAAAAAATAGTTTTAACTGGGATTGGGCCTTGAAGTGGACATTCCAGTCCCCACCTTCTAAATATAAATGTCTTAAGAAAGCCAAACAAAACAACTCTAACAGGAAGAAACTTTAGGAATTTCACGTTACCACAACCCCATGTATGTAAAATATTTTCAATTTTATTGATTCAAACATTAAAACATTATTGGTTAAAACAAATCAGAAATTGTTCATTATATACAGCATGTACATCTGCTATCTCATACAAACATAAACTGAGAGTTTTAGCTTGATGTGTTGGATTATGGAATCGATGGCTTGTTACTTCCTCCCACCAGTTTCACGGGTCAGAGCCCACTTCATCAGGAAGATATAATTTAACAGAAGCTGTGAAATGATAAAACAATATATCAACACCACTAAATAGGATATTAACATGCTAAATCCATTTGTCCCCTAAATTCCCACTTACACCCTTACTTCCCCCCCCCCCCCACAGGTTGTAGCCAGTGTTGACAGTGGAATCCCTCCCGCGAGATGCATTGTGTTCAATCAGCAGGGCGAAGCTGTCACCGTGGCGAGAAGACAGTGATTATTGCTAGCGGCTATAACAGCCACTAGCGTTAATCGCATGTAAAATCTATCAGGCTGGTTGTACCCAAGTTGATCGATCAATCAACTTGCGTACATTTAGCCTTGCCATACATGGTTCGAATTTTGGCCGGTCCCTGCTAAACCATCTTTGGACGGCTTTAGGTAAGTTAAAACTTTGTAGTGTTCATTAGCAAAAGTGCAGTTTTTTTTAATTTAACCATTTTATACTAATATAAATTTTTCATTTCTACTACAAAGTATGGTGAAGGTATTTACAAATTAAATAACTTTTTAAAATTATCTTGGTTTTTTTTTTTTTATTGCCAAACTACAAAAATTAAAACAAAACATTTACATATGAATGTAAGAAATATTCATTTGAAAAAAAAACATTGGCACCTAGTGAAAGGAGATTATAAGGGGTTTAATAAGAATCACTTTAATAAAATCTATTACACTTGCAAGTTTGCTGGAACTAACATTATGTGCAGAGCAAAGGACTTTTGGTTTAAAACACAAACACCCAAAAGACATAGTAACAAATGTAACAATGTAGTTATGAATAAAGCCTGCAAACAGTGATAGCAGGCTTTATTCATAAAGGTGCTGCTGCCAATGCAAGGAAACACAGAGTCAGATCTGAATGTACTGTGGAGGTGGGGTCCATTGTGCTTTGCAAAGTGCCCAAACCTGTAACTTTGCAAAGCAATTAAAGAAGTGGAATGTAACTATAAAAAACTGGACAAGTGACAACACAACCAATAGGCATCCTTTGCATTGTACCATAAGAGCTCCCTGAAATATTTTTTAATAACTATTGATCAGTAGATTCAACTACTGTCACATGGAAGTGTGCTTAAAGGATATTTAAACTCAAGAATTAAAATGTAATATATTGCAGCTTACATTCCTAAGATGTGTCAGCTGCATTTTAAAAAATTTTTAGGCTGTAAGTATTTTCAGCAAGTACACATAATACCTGTTAACCTTGTTAGCAGCACAGTGTCATTTCACTTTCTGTGCACTGAACTGAAAGCACAAACAATCCTAAAGGCCCGTACACGCGATCAGGAAATCGTACAAAAATTTTGATATGCACTGTGATCATTTAGTATACAGCTTTCGATCACCACAGTTCATGTGACAATAACCAAAGGGACAGGCGTGAAAATATTTCTCGTACAATACCAGATCATACAATTTTAATTTAATCAGTACAGTAGTTGTTTGAAAATACAATAAAAATACAATACAGTACATGACATCACTTCCTAAATTCTATTCAGCCTTACGAGAATTTTCATATGTTTCAGTAACCTCTTAATTTTTGATATGAAGACTAGCAGCATGCAAAAAAAAAAAAAAACAGACGATCATTCATCCGATATTCTCATCAGACAGGAAGACCTTGTCTACAGTTCAAACTAAGAGAGCAGCCTGGATGACAACCATAGCACCCTCCATTGATACAGTGGAGTAGCGAGCATAGCTACTCTAGGAAAGGAAGTATATTATTTGCAGTATTACCATGTAAAATAGCGGGAAAAAAAGCCTGAAAAGGAATGCACCGACCAAGCTTGGTAAGCAGCAATATTTTTTCTTTTTGGGTTTACATGTGCTTTAAGTACAAATACTAACAAAAGTTCATTGTTTGTATGGGAACATCTGTGGGTTTCATCACCATTGTCTGTGAAGAAGTAGGATCTGATTATGCTGAATACTATGCAGGGATTAATTTCATACCTTTTTTAAGAATGCAGGTACAAGTATTATAAAGAGTGCAGTGGCTTTTTATATGCTAATGCATGCTGTTATATATATCTAAGTGTGAGGAACAATTCATAGTCTATTCAAAGATTATGTCTTTCAGCATTGAAGTGTCTGTACAACCTGACTGAAGCACCATCCATCACCGTTTACAAGTCTGACTCTGTGAAGACAAGAAGTAGCAGCTGTTTCAGCATTCAGCTTACCATGTGACCAGAGTTCAGTGTAAAAGGCTTTTGCAGGAGAAGCCAGATGTTAGACTGTCTACCGCTTTATCACTTATGTACACATC